AGAATGCGTACAGATGGACCGACATTAAGATTAGGTGATGACAAAGTGTGAAAAAATCATTTGAATGTCATTCTGTTGAAAGAATCATTTGAATAGTATTTCTGTCATTGGAAGCAGAGAAATTTGAAAGAGCAGTAGAAATTAGAGTGAAATTACGGCATACCGCAATCACGGCAGAATTTAGAACTGTGTCAGTAGGCAGAGGTGATAATCGATAATTATTGGTATTGTTTTCATTTTTTATGAGCCAATTCCGGACAGCTGCACATGACGGGCATTCTGTCATAATGCGCTTTATGCAACCGCGTATTTCAAGCCTCACTAGAGTACGATAATATCAAAGTATGCAATCATCAACTCGTAATTTAGGTAAACAAGGAACGTCGTGTTACAGTCATCCATCTTCCATCTTAATCGCTTGCCTAACCTCCGCCGAATTGGGCGTCTTATAGGGTTCGGTGCACCGAATGAATGTCTAAGCAGCCTGATTCATCGACCCTTAATGTGTTGGATGAACTTAATTTATTTGGAGCTTATTGATTGATTACTCTTGAGTTTGCAGTGGAAGATTCATGCATACGATGGAAGGTCAAGATTGGCCCAAAATTAGTTCATTGTACACTAATGATGGAATAAGGTAAGCTTCTTCAGCTGCAAACAAACATCGAGCAGCAAGATTTCAATTATTAATGACTTAAAAGCCCACTCTCCGTTGTCTCATCAACAGTTTACGAGCAAATTGAAGCGAATTACGAACTGATGACGGAATAATTCTTCTGATGCCTGACAAAACACCTAATACAAAAATCAAAGTACAATTTTTGTTATATTACAATGATGAAAATTCCACCAGTCGACATCATAGACAACATCGAGCTCGTGGGCTCTTGGTCAGGCCAAAAGAGCGCCTTTTACACAACCAAGCTAGACATTTGAGCCAACAGATCAGCAGGACTCTCGAGGTCATGAGGCTTTTTATGCGGTTTCAGCGAGTAAACTTAGGCCGAAATTCACTTTTCTAGCTGTAAACTGAAATAAATACCAAAATCCAAATGAATATTAATTAACCAAGCCGTATCAATATATTCCAACATGAGTGGCGAGAAGCTTAATGCATCACGATTGTATTCGATAATACGAGACAACATTACCATGTATCAGATCGACCAACAATTACCATGTATCAGATCGACCTCGCAGTCCGCGTGTCGTACAGAGAGCGGAAGAAGTAGCTTTTTAGTTGGCTGGCACGACTAATCCCTCGTACAAGGAAACATTTTTCCGAAATGATTGTCTGCGATAGTGTTATTTACTGACAGAATGAGCCGATATTGAAAATCATTGTCGAATCATTGTTAGATAGAATCATGTTGATTATATGTGTTGAATTAAATTGAATTAAAATTCAGAAGACTGTTCACACTTCCGTTTGAGGCTTCATAGTTTGAAAATGGCATTACTCAGCAAAATCGGATAGTTTAGTTTCTGGCACAATTCAACGAAAAGAGCCGTAAAATAGCACGCTGTCGCACGTATCTCATCACAACTCGAGAAGAGCCGTAACTCTGCAGGCTGTTGTACGTATCTCATCACAACTCGAGAAGAGCCGTAACTCTGCAGGCTGTTGTACTTATCTCATCACAACTCGAGAAGAGCCGTAACTCTGCAGGCTGTTGTACGTATCTCATCACAACTCGAGAAGAGCCGTAACTCTGCAGGCTGTTGTACTTATCTCATCACAACTCGAGAAGAGCCGTAACTCTGCAGGCTG